AAGCAGAGTTAAAAAATACCAGGGAAAGTGCACTATCAAACGGGTTTGCGACAGGCCGCAGACGGACTTCCCCGTATGATTGCTCCAGCGCGCTCCCATTGTGTCAGTGATTTCTCGTTGAAGCACACTGGAAACACGCGCTGAAGAAAAAACCCCGATTCACCCGCCGTTGCATCTGATCATGCATTGGCGGGTCACATTACTACGGAACAAATAGCCTCGCTTCCCCCCCTCCCCCCGTGTTATCTGGCACGTGTGACCGCACTCCTTCACAGAGAAATAACAAGCATATACTATTTGGTGTAGTGGTTAAATGCGTGGACTCTAATCTGGAAGAACCGGGTTTGATTCCCCCCACTCCTCCACTTGCACCTGGCTGGATGACCTTGGGCAAGCCATAGTTCTGGCACAGCTGTTCTTGAAAAAAGAGCAGAGTTCTTTCAGCCCCACCTACCTCACAGGGTGTCTGTTGTGGGGAGGGGAAGGGAAAGGAGTTTGTAAGCCACTCTGAGACTCCTTTGGGTAGTGAGGGGCAGGGTATAAAACCAATCTCTTCTTCTCCTCTTCTTCTATTTCCCTCCATTTATCAGTTGACAAATAGAAACCAGTCATAGGATATTCTAATTGGGCATTGTGAATTTAGAACGAACCAATTAGAATACCCTTGCTGATACAGTAGGGATATTTTAATTGGTTTGTTCTAAATTTAGCCCTTCTTATGGCTTTTGCATCCCACTCTGGCAACAGAGTACAGATCAGGCCCATAGCCATGTGGGGGCGAAGGGGGCTATGCCACCTGCAGATGTGCCCAGCCCCCTCTGGGAAGATGCCAGACCTGCAGTGTGGGCAGGGGGCCCTTCATTTCGTGTTGGCAAAGTTTGAAGATAGAGATGAGCAGGAGAGGAGGGAGAGGGGCGGCCTTCAAATGAGAAGCCGGCTGTGGAAGCAGGAAGACCATGTGAGGCCGTGCATAGGCTGCTCCTCTCATTCCCCTCCTGCTTGGCTGTGGTCTATCACAGTTAGTGCTGTTTTGCCACTCGTCTCCATACTGCTGGATGCTGCCTATTCACACTAGGAAAAAAGAATGTCCACTTACCAAAGCAGTACCCACTGAGAAAGCTGCTATCAGACATGCCACGTGCTCCAGAGGCTGCGCTCAGGGCAAGAGAAAAGCAAAGCACAACAAGGAAAAATGAGGCATGGACCTCCTGGAGCAGCTGCAGTAGCCCTAAGAGTAGCTGGCTCAAGGCACACCAGAAGCAAGTCCAAAAAAATGGAGGTGGGACCATTTGGGGTGTTTACACTGGCTGCTCTATCATGGTGTCCCACTGGCTCTCCCATAGCTCCCCCTTGCCTTTGATTGGCAGAGAATCAGTGCCTTCAGCCTGCTGTGGCATTGGCCGTTCCACTAACTCC